GCACACCCCCACAAAATTTTTCTGGGAGTACCCCCCGGGCATCGAGCCAATCTCGTTCCGAGAGGCTGCCATACTTTTTCTCAGAATAATCAAAACCTCCGGATGAAAAAGGAGAGTCGGAGCCAGCGTCAGTAGCAAAAGCTGCTCTCTCTACGCATTTTCAGAAACCATTATTGAACTTGAATACACGTGCACAGTCAAACCGGAAACAGAATTTTCGTCGGGTGATGGGCTTCACATCGATTGCGCATGCGCTAAGAGCCCCAGAGATGGGGGTCAAGAATGCTGAATTTTAATTCACCTGAACAAAACAGTCATTAGTGGCTAGTGGTCAGTGCTGTAACTTCACAAGTGACTTGTTATGTGACCGCAGTTTAGACCGCAGTAAGAGTTTGATAAAGCTTTGTATTAGAAGATTTTTGTATAAATGTCTAAAACATGGGCAACTTCTCAGGTATAGTAGAAAACTGTTATTTTGAGACGTAATGAGGGGGGGAAATAGCGTACAGCATCTTCTTTACATTGCTGCTTGAAATCCTTTGTCTCTCTGATGAAAGCCCATCCTGCGCAGGAATCTGGGGAGAGGCAGCTTTCTCCCAGGCGTTCCTTGCTTCAGACGATTCAACATCCGGGACAGGATCAGTTTGAAATTTCTAAGCGATCTGATTGGCTAAGAATAAACGAACGGGAAATTTAACACAGCCATGTTCGTGTTCTTCGATTTCCTTGCTCCGCGATCTGTTTGAACTGCGAGTTTCCTGAAGTTTTGGCTCAAATCCCGTCGGATCTATCCTTACGTGGATCTAAACGAGAACATGTAACTTTGGGAGAGTCATGCCAACGGCTGGTGAGGCGAGACTGAAGTCAAAATCAATCAAGAAGACATCTGGTGACGGGTAAGAGGAAGTTGTCCTGTAGTTGTTGATCCATGTACTCAAAGCTTACATGAAAGTCATACCATTACGGTTTGAGACATGTTACATGAATCACGAAGTAAACGTACTTTGCACGTTCAAAGGAGTATCTATACCTATGCTATAAAGATGATGCAGTCGCTTCGATTCCTTAACCATTGCAGTTTAGTTGGTTGTAACTCACAAGCGAGAACGCAGTCAATTTCGTTCCAATAAAGTGATTGTTTTGTGTTTAGCTTAATTTCTTGGTAGTGCCTAGCAATGTAAAGCGGATTTAAGCTTTCCAGTTTTTCGTTCACGTACCGAACCATTAATGGTGACGTTCACTGAAATCCGATCCAGATTGCTTGGAATTTAATAAATAGTGAAAGTATAACAATAAACGTCGTTCTGTCAGACTCTATAAAGATACCCGGCAACCGGGAAGTGTTTTCAAAACCTAGACCGACAGTCTAAAATTCTTTTAGAATTTCCACGAACTATTTCAATATAGCAGATCTTTCTTTAGAAATATCAATCGTTTACAAGTATTATTTTGTCTTTGTAGCAGAGGAATTTTTCGAGCCTTGCATTAAATTGGTATAGCATAAAATCTCAAATTTTTTGACCCAAAAATTATCGTTGCTTTGACTCACCGAGATTAATAAGACTAATAAGCTTATCTACAACAATAAGTACAGGTAATCAAATGAATACAACTGCAATTAAGGATTTACATTACTAGTGATATATGAAAATTCTCTCAAAATAAAGGCAAGTGCATTTTGAAAGAATTTTCAATAATATCAATCATGAGTGGTGTAAATCCTTACTTGTAATTGTTCAAGCTTTCGTATGACTACTCATTTATTACATGGCCGAGAAAGTTACAAAAGTGTGCATGCTAATTTGCACTCCAGTGTACATGTAAATTAAAAATTAATGATAAATTGGCCTGTTCTAAGCCAATCACAATGAAGTGATTTTCTCAGTCATATGGTAACAATTGAAACCATCTGAGAGCTTTGAGCATTTGTTCAGAAATGCCAAGTGATTCTTTTTAATGGTTTGGTTTTGTAGTTTGTGTACTGGACCAAATACTCCCATCTTTGGCATACTATAAAACTCTCGACTAGTTGGCATGGTTGTTAAAAGAACAGATACTTGAAGTCATCAGAAATTCCTGATATATCCTGTGATTTCAAGTTACTGACCTGATATGGCAACAATAATATAGTGACTTGGTCTCGGGGGTTAAAACAAATTGGGTGGGTGAGTTATCTTATCTGGGCAGGTAGGAGTGCCTGATGGATGGCTGCATGTATCAGGAGATAACTTTTCCTTGGGGTATCATTTGGCTCACTTACGGTATCCTCGGCATGCAGCACACTGCACTGGAGAGTTGTCTGGGATAGGGCTAAAAAAAACATTGAATGCCAGCTTGCCCTTCAGGCAAGCAGCTCTCAAATTTTGCTTGCCCTGGGAAAGTCCTAGTTCACATTTTTTATTTAGTTGGCAAATGACTTGCCTGGTCCCTTGCCCATTTAGGCAAGTGAGAGTGAAAAGTTACTTGCCAAGAAAATCTACATGTCCTGGACGACGGGACTGCACTTTTTTGCAAGCCCTGGGTTCTAGCTGTCAGACTATATAGATGGACCCTAAACAAAGACAGACTGTTCTCAGAAAAATTAAGTAAGACATTTCATTATAATTCTGTTAGCCTGCGAGCAGGCTCACCTTTGAGTCACACGCGCGAGCGGTGAAGAGCAGAGCGCCGATCCAGCGGGAAGGAGTCTGGTGAAGAGGTGCCGAGAAAGTGAGCCTGCCCTGATCTCGGTAATTTTTTCATTTCTGCTTCGTCTGAGTGAAGTGAAATACCATTGGTCGAAAAGCGGGAAAGGCAAGAAAACTGTCAATCTATTATGTTTTATGAGGAGTACTCTAACTTTACTTATGATACAATTTTTGTTACTCATCAGAACTTCTTGCAAAGGAAAAGCGACTAGGAATAAGGCCAGTGCAAGCAAGATCAGGGAAGGTATGTGGGAGAATCAAACAGTTCTTGGTGGGGCATACGTGTACATATCGATTAGAAGAATTGAAAATTCATGTCTTGGCAAAGAAAGCAACAATGTAAATACAGGATTGTTTCATGGTGAAAATGACTTAGTTACCACTACGTAGCGGAGTTACTTGACTGTATGGTCATGTAAATTTATATGAAGTACAGCCTGTTAATAGATGTACATGCAATAATTGTCGGTCTTCTGAGCTGAAGAAGTGTTAAAACTGCACCCCGTCCACAACTTAGGAGAGTAGAGCATACCGATTTCATACTTCAATTTGTGTACTTTTAATTACTTCTTAATGTGACAGTAAATTTTTTTTTCATTAGTTAAAAAGAGGACTCTATCACATCCAAACTCAGCAAAGAGGTATGTTTCACCAAGAGGTTGATGTGTATTTTTATTCAATTTTATAGTGGAGCCTCATACCTTAGAAAATTTGGTAACCCATTGATCTGAAAAATTTTGGTTGTCACGTGACTGTCCATACGTCCGTCCGTCTGTATGTACGAACTAAGAGAGTAGCACCATTACCATAGCTACATCTTTGATTTTGGATGTCCAGGCTATTGTTAATTGACAGCTGTCACAACAAGCTATCTGCTGACCTGTATCACATGACTATATTGCAGGCTCAGGTTTAGAGCTCATCGAGGTTGCGTGTCTTTTTTCAAATTGACTGCTGACCAGTTACTGGGTTACCGATTGGATCGCGGGCTCAAGTCACGTCACATGTATTTCTCTGGGGGAGAAGGAAGGAGTACTCACAAGGGCAAAATTTTGGTGCAAATTAACCCCTGGCATGTTGTTGACTTTTTTCCTGACATATTCCTTGTACAATTGTCTCTTGGAAAGTCCCTGATATATTGCGTATATAATTTCTACAATCTTGGTTAGGCTTGTCGGGTATAGTTCGTTAAAATTTAACTGGAAAAAATAGCAAAACCACACGCCGAACAATAACATGCTCACAACTGATCATTTTTTGCGATTCTGATCCAAGAAAAAAATAATTCTCTTTTTCCTTTATCGTCAGTTATTGCAATCAGGAGCTCTGCTTTTAAGCCTGGCTAAATCTATATATTACATGTACTTAATTTTTATGCTTACACTTAATTGACTAATTTGCTGATTTTCAAGTTCTATACCAGTGCCTGTGAAAAAAGAAGCTAAAGGAAAAGAAAATGCAGACCCAGTAGGTTGACATTACATCATTCAACATGTAGATGTGCTTGTGTTAATTTGTTATAATTCATTGTGGTTTACAGGGCTGTCATTAAGGGCCATAACCTGTAATATTTTTTACAGGGGTTTCGTTAAGGGCGGTGGGCACCGGGAAATTTGACCAGCTGCCTTGCATTGCATTTCATATTAATTGCAGTCATGTAAATTACAATTTCTAGCTGTGGTGTTCAGTAACATTGAAAGTTGATTTTTAAAGACTTGTCTGATTATTTTGGCAATGCTTCACATACATCTGATAAAAACCCAAATAATAGGTCTGTCTCTACTGTTTGTTTGTTTGTTTGTTTGTTTTTTTGTTTGAGAGGCTCTGAAAATGCTAAGTGCTTGCCACTTAAGTACATTAAATAAATGTAGAGAGTATTTTCCATTTCTCAACTGTTACATGTACATGTAATTCCGTATGAAGGACCTTGACCAGATGACTTTGCATGGGGGCTTATACTGTAGAGCTCTGGGTAATGGTCAGATTGCCAGCCAATTAGGAGTGTTTTACTGTCTATAAGGGGCTGGCTTGTCACAGTAGAGGTCCCCACACAGCCTGGGCACCCATCTTAGCAGAAAGTCCTTTTTTAGTGTTTTATTTGTCTCTTCTTTCATCTGGGTCCCACATATGACAGGACATATTTCTTGCATGAGTTGCAAATTATAATAATAATTATTAATAATATTCGTTTATTGAAGAATATTAATGTACACCCTGGTACTAAAATCAACAAAAAGGCTAGCAAGGTTAAGCAAGCTCCAGACTTCAGAAAACTTCATAGAAAATGGGATGATCAACTTTCTAATGCATGACAGGACATATTTCTTGCATGAGTTGCAAATTATAATAATTATTATTAATAATATTCTGTTTATTGTAGAATATTAATGTACACCCTGGTACTAAAATCAACAAAAAGGCTAGCAAGGTTAAGCAAGCTCCAGACTTCAGGAAACTTCATAGAAAATGGGATGATCAACTTTCTAA